CTGCAGAAGTCTTGTAAAATTGACACATCTTTTCCTCTCGTTTTGGATTTTAAAGACAGGCTCCCCCAAAAATGAAAAGAGAAATAGGAATTGCGGGGGATTTCTAAAGGGGAAGGAGGGAGGGAAGGAAAAGGAAAGAAGGAAGGAAGGAGAAAAAGAAGAGGGAAGGAAGGAAAGAAGGGTGGAGAGGGAAACCAAGAGAGAGAGAGAAAAGGAAGGAAGGATGGACGGAAGGAAAGAAATTAAGGAAAGAAGGGAGAAGAGAGAGAAAACCCAAGAGGGAAGGAAGGGAGGGGAGGAAGGAAAAAAAGAAGAGGGAAGGAAGGAAGGGTGAAGAGAGGGAAACCAAGAGAGAGAGAGGGAGGGAGAGAAAAGGAAGGAAGAAAAGAAAACAAAGTAAGGAAAGAAGGGAGGAGAGAGAAAAACCAAGAGGGAAGGCAGGAAAAAAAGAAGATGGAAGGAAGGGTGGACAGAGGGAAATCCAAGAGAGAGACAAAAGGAAGGAAAAAAAGGAAAGAGGGAGAAGAGAGAGAAAAACCAAAAGGGAGGGAAAAAGAAGGGAAGGAGAAGATAGAGAAACCAAGAAGAAAGGAAGGAAGGAAAGAAGGAGAGAGAGAAAAACTAAGAGAGAAGGAAGGGGGGGGAGGAAGGGACAAAGAAGAAAAGAAGGAAAGGAGAAGAGAGAGAGAAACCAGGAAGGAAGGAAGGAAGGACAGAAGGAAGATAAATTATACATCTAAAGTTTTATCTATCTGGACATCTATTTCATGGTGGCTATCAAGAAAGCAGAGCCCAGAGTCTAGAGTGAAAGCAATGTTACTCTTTCTCTTGGCACTGTTGCCTTCAGAGACAGACATCTGCCATATGCAGTGGTTCGGTTTAGCTACGCCTGGACAAAGTGAGATATTGATTGGCATTTATTGGATGTCTAAAAAGGCTACCCCATCTTCTTCTTTTTTTAGCCCAGAAAAGAAGGTAAGAGAGGGCTGCTTCTGCAGACTGAGGTATCTGACTCATGAAGGACGCAGGGCTTCCAAAAGAACGCCACCCTTCAAAGAGATCAAGGGTGAAATGCTATCGGTTCGGATCGATTCACCCGAACCGGTNCCTCCCCCCTCAGCTCCCAGCATCCTTTGCAGGCGCTACAATGAAATTTGCAAAGTTTTTTCGATTTCGGCGCCATTTTCGAGTGGACTCGGAGGTGAGGAGGGAGGGCGGGGAAAAGAAGGGGCGCCCCGGGCCGGGGGCCCCCGCGGGGGGAGCCCCAAAAAATCCCCAAAAAATCCCTAAAAATCCCCCCGGCCCTAGGAGAGCCCGGGAGCGGCGCGGGAAGGGCGGGGAAGGCGCGGGAGCGGCGCTTGGGCGGGGGAGGAGGGCGGGGGAGGGGAGGGGGGAGGAGGAGGAGGAGGCGCGCGCGAGGGAGGGGGGAGGGGGGCCCCCCGACACCGGCCGGGCCCCCCTTGCTCTCCCCCCCACACCGGGGAGGGGGCGAAAGAGAGGGGAGAGGGGGGGGGTCCGCTTGGAGACCTCCCCCCCCTCCGCAGTCCGTCAAAGTGGGCAAACTTTTCTGGCGGGGGGGGCCGTCTGAGGTAGGGGGGGGTCAGTTGCCTCAAGGCAGCGGCCTCCGCAGGAGGAGGGGAAGCCCCCCCCCCACGGTGCCACGGGTGGGGTGGGGGGCGGCGCTGCCCTGCGGACGGGACCCGCCCCCCCTCACCTTTCCCCCCCCTCAGGAAAGGCCGCCACCCGCGCCCCTTCCCTCCCTCCGCCGCCGCCGCCGCTTCCTCCGCCTGATACTTTTTAGCTAAATATGGATACAGCGCGGAAGAAGAAGAAGAAGAAGCGGCCGGGGAAGAGTCGCGCCCGCCCGCCCGCCCGGCGGAGCCCATCCGCGCCGGGGGGCTCCGGGTGGGGAGGGGTGGCTGGGCCCGTCCCGGCCGGGGTCCCTCCTGGCAGCCCCTTCCCAGCCCTCGGGTGGGGGTGAGGGGCTCCCGGGGGTCCTGCCTGGAAAAAGACGCGCGTGGCGGAGGGGAGGGAGGGAGGGGAAGCCTGCGGGGATCGAGGGGAGGGGGCTTCCCCACTTGCAACCGCAGCCCCCACCCCGGGGGGAAACAGGGAGGGGAGGGGGGAGAGGGAGGGGAAAGTGACAGGGGCCAAACCCGGGGAGGTTAGGGGGGCTTCGAGTCCTTTCGTCGTCCCCCCCCCCGCTTCTTTCTGTCTTGCCTTTCCTTCGCCCTCGCCCGCCGCCGAGGAAGGTGGCAACCCCGGTGGGACGTGGAGCCGGCGGAGCGAGAGTTAAAAGTGATGCACGGCTGAATATATATATAAAGATATAGATATATATATATTTCCTTCCCTCCGAGGGAAATCGGTTGCAGCAAAAAAAAAAAAAAAGACTTTTCTCTCCCACCCCCCCAGTGCAAAAAAAAAAAAAAGGAAAAGTTTCTACCGAAGCAAAAGTGCTTTAAAAAAAGGGGGGGGGGCAAAAGACGTTTTCATTGGCCTGGAGTCACGTTTAAGAGAGGAATGGCCAAGGAGAAGGAGATGGTTTCATTTCACTTTTTCAAGTCTTTAAAATGTTTTTTTTTCCTCCTTTTTAAAAGTTTTTGAAATGTAAAATGCGATGGTGGGGTGGGTGTTTTTTTTGTTTTTTTTGTTTTTTGCCGGTTCTTGTCCCGGGAGATAAAAGTGATTGGAATAAGTGGGTTGAATTCAAAGTGGCCCCGTTTCCGATGGAAAAGTGGAAATTTTGTTTTGGATTTTACAAAAGTTTTGAAAAGGTGCAGACCACTCGCAATCAATTCTATTTTTTTTTTATACAAAAGTGCATTCGTCTTAAAAAAAAACACAGCGTATGTCTGTAATTAATTAATTTTTAAACTGTAAGTCACTTTTTCCCCCAAAAAATAAACAATTTTAGAAATTATTTTGCCCAGTATTATACTTTTTGTCATTACATGTTTTATTTTACAACCATCGATTGAAATGTAATTTAAGAAACTGATTAAAATAATGGTACAATGGTACCATGAGCTAATAAAAAACAAGGTAGACTTTTTAAATTACAGAATCAATTAAAAATATTTGTTTATTCCTTATGAAGCCTAATTTAGATTTTTTTTAAAAATTGTTCCTTACATTTAAAAAAAAATTTTTTTAACAAAAAGTTGCAGCTATATATTTTTAGGCATTAATTATTTATTTATTGAATAATCTTTTTTTTAAGTAGTGTGTGTGGGAAATTTGCAAGATCCCAGATTTAATCTAAAAATGTCCACATTTTCTAAAAGTTTGGACTTTTTAATATACATTAAATCGATACAACTCTCTTGCGTTTCGCTACACCATTTTTTTGCTGGTATTTTTGTACAGGAAGTGTAAAAAATAAAAGGACGGAGGAACTTCAAGCATAATAAGCTGAGTGCACGAATGTAATATGGCTGGGGATAAAACTTAACGTTGTCCCCCTTTTAATCATATGCCCGGAGCAGCTAGAAGAATTTTGAGGAGTTGAGAGGAATATTTTTTTCTCTCCCTTTAAAAAAAATGCAGACCAAAAGTGTGCAAAAAGGGGGGTGGGAATACCCCCCTCTTGTGTAGCTATGGCAGGAAAGACCCTCAAAAGATTAGCATTTGTAATTGTCTAATTTTGCAGTAGTTGCCAGGTGCCCTTTTTGAAATCCTAAATCATAACGTTTCAGCTGGAAAAATGTGCAACGGGAGTGACAGATCTTTAAACAGATAATCTGTTGCAGATCCTTTTAAATGGGTGCTGATTCTGGTCAAGTTTTCTATTTCCTTGCCGTCCTTGGTTTGAACAAATGGTGTTTTTTAAGAGTTTGGTTTTTTTAAAAAGTCTGCAGTGCAGCTTTCGCATCTAGAGGAGGCGACACTGGTCGGAGCGGAAAAGCTTGAGGGAGTTTAAAAAATACTGTTCTTCGTCAGCACTTTTGAGGGAAAACTTTTACTGGCATTCTAATATACAGTATATGGAGCCTTCCCTTCCCTTGTGCTCCGTTTAAAAAGAAGTAATAAAAACTTCCCCGGCATGAAGTGAAGGGAGACTGCAAATTCTTCCTCCTTGCAAAAATTTAAGAGCTGTGCAACGGTTTATTTAGGCTAAGAGGAGAGTTTGTTAACCAGCTTAATCAATAGGTTAATCCTGGTTTGTTTCTAAATGATCTTTTGTGAGAGGATAAAATGGGGAGGGGGGAAGGGGTGCATACGTGCTTTAGACCCAGTGGTTGGTGATGAATTAAAAAAAAAAGAGGGTGGCATTTTGGAGAATAATCTGTATTTTTGGAAATTATTTACCATTTGTGGAAGTTTAGTTTCAGTGTTCAAACTGATGCTAGTTGAAAACATATTGTGATACTGTTCGTTTATGTTTTATTTTTAAAGGTGCTATTTTGCCTTAAGCAATGTTGAAACAATATAGCAAGGAGATTGTTTTAAAATTTCACTGGGGTGAGTAAATTTTTCTATTTCTTGTAGGTCAGGCAGAGACCCTTTCCCCCCTCCCAAAAGAGAGTGACTTGGGTAAGTCCACTCAAAATTAATAATTTTTTTTTTTAATTTCACTCCCCCACTTTTCACATAGGATTGTTTCAGGCTAGGCTTTTAATGGAGATGTAAAAATGTCCATTCTTTCTACAGGAGAGAAATAGGAAAGATGAAATGTTCCACGAATATATATATATATATATATTTAAAATTCATGCTGAAATAGACAATTAGAGCACAATTCAGTTCCAGAAGCAATTGTGACCATACACAATTCAGTAGGTTTTCTCTTGGGAAACAATTTTGCTTCGTTTCTATCACCCCCAACACACCTGATGTGTTTTTAGTTTTGTGGAGGCCACTGCAGTTTGAAAATAATGTTTGTGGTTTTAGCACACAGTGTAGACTTGTGGTTAATTCTTTAAGCTATTTAAATAGACCAGGCTTCACGTGTGTGAATCCAGTCTTCTCTGTTTTCTATGTGTAGGTGTGCCATTGTGTCTCTTAAATATGGATGGACTTCCACAGATTAGAAACACAACTGTTGTGAATCTGCCCTCGAAGGTCACTTCATCCAGTAAGAATCTTTTTATAACCTTCATCCATACCTAAAAGTGTGTTGAAATGAGATGCAGGCTGTGTTGGTTTCTCTTTATTTATTATCGTATTTTGCTCCCTCTTTGCTTATTGCAAATAAACTCACAGACAAGCCACGGAGTTCTCAAAACTCAAGTTTCGCTCTGCTACAAAGGGAGTTATTAAAATGTTGGTTGGGTGAGGGCGTGTGAGTAGGATGTGATAACTTTGAAAGCCCTTTTGTGACTCGCGAAACGGGGCTGACGACAAATTTCGTTCTAGAAGGTTATGGTAGACTCTTTGGCTACACCAATGTCTCTCAAGTGTTGTTGGCTTTAAGGTGGGTGGACTTCCAGAATTCTGGGAGTTCATATATCCACCCACCTTAAAACCACCAATCTTGAGAAAAAAACGTTGTACTACAAAGTTGGGAATTTGTCCCCTTTGCTTGCTTGGCTGAAGATCCAAGGGTTTTATAACGGTGAAGAAGATAATCTGGATTTTAACCCTGTTCTGTTTTCCATTTTCTTCAACTCTTGACTTCTTTTTTGGGGGGGTTTCCTTTTTAATTTCAGGCGTAGGTTCTGTGCATTAGCTGAAGCTCCGTGATGGAGGAGGAAGACACCGGGCAGAGAATTTTGGGTATGTTTTGTTTCCCTTTTGCTAGATTAACGGAGGGGGAAGGGAGGAAGGCCGACATTGTCCGGTTTATTACTTTGTCCGGTTTATTACTTTGTCCGGTTTATTACTTTGTCCGTGGAGGTAAAGGAATGTGTCGGCCTGCAATTTAATGATTGCAGCTTCAGTCCAAGTCGAGTCTACAAGCTGTTAGCAATGTCCTCCAGCCAGAACATTGTGCCTCCTTGCTCAAAGAAGTCTTCTC